AACAAAGGAACATATTTCATTGTTGAAAGATAGGTAGATAGTTACCTGCCAAATATGCTAAATATGTAAAAATTAGTAAACAGTGTATGTGGAAAGAATTGCTAGAGAGAACTGGATAGTTTTACACAGATTCGACTGACATTCCCGCATTTCTTACACGTTTCTTAGACAAGTAGATCGTGTGGATATGAATACACCACTGTCTACAGAAACATGCCATGAAATATAGACTTTCTGTATCTCAGTCTTTGAAATAATTAAATAATTTCTTTAATTTCTTTTTCTTTTGTTGTGTTAAAATACAAAAATTCGCGTGCAAATTGTTGAAAAGAGTTGAAATATATATTTCTAACAAACGAGAAAAATGAATTCGTAAACCTAATCGTTTATTAAATTTGTTATCAATGAAACGTGTGTATACCTATCAGTCAACCCCAATACTAGAAATTTGAATAAATGCAGCTAATAATAATACAAGAGACACCTCGAGTCAAGTTTATAAGTATCGACATTTCCTAAAAGGCTAAGTATTGTCTAGAACAGAGTTTTCTTTTTCCAATTTATAAAATATTATCCATGCATATATTATACTATTAAAATCGCTTCCGTGTTATATTATTTTCATTCGAGGTATAAACCATTTGATCAAAGACAGACGTAAATAATCCGTATACTTAATTAATAATAACAATACTTGTTGGTCTTGCAGTTTAGTTTTCTTGTTCTCTAGAACGTTATTATCCTTTTCGCCCAAGGGCCGATTAATCAGAATCGTTTTTGCGGACAAGCCAATTATGTATCATCGGAATCTGCACCCATGGTCATAAAAAAATTATTAAAATATTTGATCTGCATACTTTCATTTTTAAAATGGGTGGACCGGGCTCCTTGTCGTTCATTCAATCGGTCCTTGGTACAAGTGATAAACTAAAAATGACAGAGATAAATGCAATGCCTAGCTATGAGGGCGTGAGGTTATTTTGTCGGAAAATTTGCATGGCTGGCCGAAACATTAAATTACTTCGGTGGACTAAAAGGGAAACGAATTCTCTTGCCAGTCGAGTTGGACGAGAAGAGAATTGAAGGTCCATGGTTACAGCTATACCTGTATTTCACAGCCGAAAATTTGACTGTCATCATCCCTATTACCGGACCTTGATGGCAAACAAAATACCCGACAGATGATTATTCCGACAATCTACAGTCTTTACACCCAAATAATCGCCCCTCTCATGCAAACCCCTAATGTCGAAAATCTTAGCTACACCACTTAATTGAGCGATCATATGAATATGAAATAAAAAGTTTTCGAGCAACACAACTTCACTTCATTAATTTTTATCTCAATTCTAGGGTGATTTTATTACGTGTATTTTGTAGTCTAGCATATTTACATGGAGATAAAAACGGCACAAAAAAATATGAAATCTTTGAATACGCCTTATAGCCGTATTGAAACTGAATGTCAGTGCATTGTAAAACCATTAACATTGACTTTAATCGTCGGTAAATCCAAGTGTGAAATGAGTTTCTAATCGAGCCCCCTTCTCTATTGTTACTTAAATCAAACTGAGTTAAACAACTCGAAAAACAACTGGAAATGCATTACTGATTTAGCGTTAAACCTTTTTCGTCTCGTTTCCTTCATTCCGAGTTTTGAATGCGCATGAAGCAAAACAATACGGCATTAAATGGTTTCGTTCCAGTTCCCGAAGCCATTCTCAAATTTCCAGAAAACGAAGCGTAATAAAAGTTTTTTTGGCAAGTTTTAAAAGATATTTGCCAAAGACCGTGATATGATTAACAGCATGGCTATCTTGTTTGACAGCAGGCAGACTTGTTTGACACACACAAAAACCCTTCTTTTATTGAGTAACAAGTTTTTGGCGTGTAAAACCAGTAATCGTGCAACAGTTTTCGTCGAGAAACAAATAACGGCTAATTAGTGCTAGGTCTATTAGAACTGTCGGGTAAAGAAAGAGGGGTATATATGCACACATGTTGCTGTCAATAAATATATCAGTAAGACATAAGTCAGTGGTGAAATAATTCTTAATATATCTCAAACTTTCCTTACCTCAATATACAATTAACGAACATTCTAAAATTATGAATAAATTTATGTCGTCTGTGGGGCAACTGGGTTCGTTTTATTTACTTCCATAGTTTTAAAAATCGAGACTGGTCTGAAACAAAGTACAGTTTCAACTATGTTTTGTAAAGCCATGAGTGTTATATTTTTCCATAGTTAAAACTACATGTACGTGTTAATTTCTTTCCGTTTATTCGGTTGGTAAGAAAAGAGCGTTTTGAGACCTGTGGCGACATCATCGTACTTTTGATCTTGATTAGACAGTCAATTAAATTACTGGATAATCAAAGTGTTTCAAAAGATTTCGAGAAGTTTTAGATAGTACGGGTTTTGATTTGTAGCATGCTCTGGACGTGCCTAATAAAAGTTGGTATAATTTTAATTGGAGTGAATTTTCCTCAATGTACACAAATTATAGCCTGAGCGTTTGGAAAACTGATGGCTGTCCTAAATATTGTAATTCGAAAAGCAAATTTGTGTTATGTTAGTAAATAATATTGTTATGTAAATTCTCTACTCACTCTATAGTTCATTCAATAGTTCTTAAACTTAAGGCAGTTTTGTTTTCGGCTAAATGTACATGTTTATTTCATGCACAGACCACATAAAGTTCTAGCAGTCATGATTAGCTGTGTGAGCCTGTCATCTTTTTTTTTAAAATTTCATTAACTTTTTTTATATTATTATTTCACCAACAGTGTGTGAACTCTTTAAAAAGTCAACACACAAGGAAAAGGATAGCGAGAAGGTGGTCTTGAAAGTTCCAACTTGTTGCAGGAATTATTTTCTCTTCTATGACAGAGCCATGTGTTAGAGGGAACTGGCGCCAGTGGTCTTGTTTCGTGGAATGATATGGCGATGAATAAGGCAAAGGGCGGAACGGCCCGGGTAATACCAAGAGATTTTTTGTCTCTAACTTTTCTTAATTTCTGCAGACAAAACATGCGATTCCCTTACATGCTGGGAACTCTATTGTTTTAACTTTAAAACCCATTTTTCTTGTGGTAACTCAAGTCTTTGTCACTTCACACTTTATGCGCATTTCACACTTCCACATTCATATTTGATTATTATTGTCTTTGTAGTATCATACCCTTGTACATTACGGTATTTCTGATCGTGGTTCAGAGTGTATAAAAACTATGAATGCAGCCTTCATCACTGTATGCATTAGTCGCCATCTTTCTTGTTTGAATGTCACACGCAGCATATAGTATGACCATAAGGCATATCATTGGTTGAATATAATTCTAGAAAATACAAAAGACTAGCTGTAATAAAAACAACCAACGTCGATCATTATGGAACTAAATTAAGAACGATAGAGTGTATGAATATGATCTTGAAATAAATAATTAATCTCTGAAATGCTTATCCTAAGAGAGAAATAAGCTCGTGACTAACGCCCTTTCCCTACCTATGACTATCTGTGATTAAATTCTTTATGATAGATACTGGGTCTTTGTTTCTTCTCCGTCAACCTGAACCATGCAATTTCTCAGTTAACTTCCATGCCATGCATATAGAATTATACCGAGGTCGAGATAACGTGATTCGTTTGTATTCACATCAGCCGACATTTCATCAACGCCACCTAGCGAAAATTAAAAAAAGTTAAGATATTAACTGTTTACATAAACAGAAAACACCCAATGAACTAACTCAAGTCTGAATATTTATAGCTGCAAAATAGGAAACTGTATACACTTATATTCCAAATGGCAACGCGATAAAATGATTTAAATGACAAAAATGGCTAAATCCGTTTCTTTCTTTATAAGAACTATATTAAAAGCTTTGCTCGATCTAAATTGTAAGAATTTAGACAAGTGTTTTATTTCATTTGTCCAAATGCGTACATAATTATATGCCGTGACACAGTTTCATGTGACTTTTTATAACCAGTTATTTATATCCTTATTCAATAACATTCGAAAGACAATGCATTTTAATCGACACAAAAATTAAAAGAAGAATTCTTCAGCTATATCGGATACGTTCTTTTTACTTCACTGAAGTTCTACAGGGAGAATGTTTCCTGCCTTCGTTTTCTATCAGTTGTACCCATGTATCATATATGAGATCGTACGAGACGTGCGTCCGTTGCGAACCCGTTGCACTTAATTGCTCTCACCCCCCTGTGATTAAACTTTAATTGTAAGTTAACTCACGACCTTGGTGGTAACGAAATTTACCTTAAATATATTAAAAGACGATGTTGTTGAATAGCATTCATATTTTGGAATTTAACGACGCACCATACGCTCAGATGGTGAAAAGGAAAACAAAACAAATGGTTCTAAAAAGATAAAAAAAAAAGCAACATCTTATTGATTTGAATATGGTGGAATATGATAGCGTCAAGCATCCAGTTTCATTAACATTTCAATGTGGGTTTTTTCTGAATTTAAGTTGATTTCATTATTACTTTTACTCTATTGACAGAAATGTATTAAATGTCTTACATAAAGCTCATTTTATTGTGGAATTTAAAAATAAAGAGACCGCTTTTTTCTTAGGTATTGCATCAATAAACTAGGGCTATGTATTTTTAATTATCTGTCCCATATACGTCAACATTTGAAGCCACGTGTATATCTGGTTGACTTGCGCTGTATGACGTATTTCAATTGCTTACAGAAATGTAAGCGGGATTGTTATATGAATTGTATGTGTAAACCGATGCTGTAACGATTTATAGCGACATGTTAATTATATGTTGTTAATATATTAGTAATCTTCATCGGAACGACGTTGAAAGAGTATGTTTACATGTAATTGCCTTAACCTCACATGTAGAAATATTCACAAGGAATACCATAGAAATACCAGCTCTAATACTCATATAGATTTCAATAAATACACCAAATATTCAAAACAACATCTTCCATACATACGCACACGTGTGTTTATACTTTGTCATGTCACCGTGAATAATGTAACACGAAGACGAGAAGCTTAAAGATTTGCATAGTTATATCAATAGGTTGGTGTTATAGTAGAAGTAGTAACAACGCCATTGTGAAGCCAGAGTTCTTGGAGTAAAACACTTCCAGGAATGACAATACGAAAAACACAACTAAGAGACATGTTTATTTCCAAAATAGTTCCTGGAATCGAATTCTTGATAACTAAAGGTTAGTAAAATGTCGAATGGCAGCCGAGGAAGTTAATGAATTCCTGTGTTTTTAAAGGCGGGGGTTCGAATAATGAAAACAAAGCCTGACAGAGATACCGAATTACATCACGTCAATAGCAGAGCGGAGCACGTGTAGACGGGCGCCATAATGAAGCTAAAATCAGCTGACAAAATAAGAACTCTCGTATCAAAATCTGACCACCATGTTGTGTTGAGTATAAATTCTGATAGAAAACTACCTACTAATATCAACACAGCTTAAACTTTTATTTAGACTTATTTTGGGTGATATCCCTTCTATCTACTTCCTTTACATAGACTAAATTATTAGAACACATACATGGGTATATTATTGAAAACTGTTCTCTTAATTTGATGAACAGACTTGTAAAAAGCGAAAATAATCAAATATTGGATTGCTATATATTAGATTGTTCCCCCAGTCCAAATGCATTGAAACTACGAGATTGCTTTGGTTATTTTATAACAAACACAAATTACTTTACTTCTTCAATTTGTCCAAACGGGGGCGGGGTTGTCTTGGAAACATCTTAAATCCAATTTTCTATGTGAACACGATCTTCAGACTGGACTGTTCATCAGAGTTGGGTTTTGTGTTCTTTTATTTTCAACCAAAACTGGATTCGTTTAGGCGACATACTATGCTTGTAATGGTATTTTCCACTGAATTATTAATGTAACGCTTGACCCTTTTATTATCGAGGAATTAATTTTTATTTTTGTAAATTACACATCTTATACACCATGTTGTTTTCAACGTTTTTAATTGAATTGTCCTCGTAATTTCATCGACCTTATAATATTATAAGGTCCATGGTAATATTCATTTTATGACAAATCTCTTGGGATACTAAAGGTCTATTACATATGTCTGACTTAAAACAAATCGTGATCTATACTAACTAATGTCAACAGTTATACTAGGTTACTGGAATTCTGGACGGATTGAAAGACATTGAATTATCTGGAAAGCTACTGGCATTTCCGCCCTTTGCTATTACTTAACTTATTTTAAAATATTGACGTTTTATCTTGTATGGGAGCTAAACTTCTTAGATTATTAATGATTGGTTTAATCTGCTGTATATGTAATGTGACCAAGCTCTCTGTATTTGAAGCATTAAGCGGAATTCAACTTGCTTGCTAATTTTAGTTGAATTCATTTTTTTTTAGCTTACTGTCATCCCACAAAACAAATCTAAATCTAAAATCCAATGAAATCGCGATGTTTTGTTAGAGATCTAGCCATTCTAAATGCCCAAAATTTATATTTTGTAACATTAAATGTTTTGTAGACGATTTTCGATTATTAACAAATGATACACATCCATTCCAATTACGTTGATATCTTTCATATATTAATATTAAGACAAAACATGATTTATGATCTGTATAAAATATTTTCACGTGTTCTGAGTACTGTCGACAAATACAGTAATAGTTACCAAAAACCGCTTAGTATGATCTGTTGCCCTTTCCCTCCAAATATCCTTTAAATTTCTAACGTTGATACCCTGCACGATAGTTATGACAAAGCGGGACAACCCACGACGAACACCAGATATGGATAGTATTACGATGGTATTCTTTACTTACTTTTCGCAAAGAGAGATAAGGCTTTGTTTACTGTAAGTTATATATGCTCTAATATTTTCTCTTTCTTCTTTTGCTACAGATATATATTATACAGAGGGCGCTTAATGTAGTAATACATTATGAAGAGAAAGCAAAAAAATAAGCTAGATCAAGTTCGTCGTAAATTGCGACCACAAATGTTATTTGAAGACATAGAAATGTTAAAAGCATATTGTTGTTAGTAAGCGAGAGTAAATGCATTAAATGTTTGGAAAAGTGCGAAGAGTCTGGTAAATGATCGCCGTGTAATGACTTTCTTTACTTATTGTGTCTGCCGTGTTTAAATTGAGCCGCACTGTATAGACATGTTTTACACGAGTATCTCACATCTTCTTTTACATACAAATATTTCTGTTTTCTCTAAATGTCTTTTGTTCAAGAAAAAACATTTACTAGATCAGTAAATGATTAAAAGAGCGTTATTTATGTATTCCTCATTTTGTTTCGTGAAATTATTGCATGTAATTTAATGCTAGTTGCAGTTGAAAATGAATACATCTTCGGAAACCCACCGATTTAAAACGTTGGCCATTGCAACTTATTATTATTATAAGCCATTGCCACTTATTCAATAGACGGCATGTTGATTATATAAGCTAAGGGATGAATCCTGAAATATTCTTTGAAATTATTAAAGCGAAGATAACCCTTAAATATTCCAAACTTTTAAATGATTGATGTGCTGTACATTATTTGTATTGGACTATTATTGTCGCTGTGATATCTCTGTAGTATGGCTCAATACGTTATGTTTTAATGGTGAATTATGTAAAAGAACCAAGATTTAAACAACATGGACATTCAAAAAGGGAGAAGAGCACGGAGAAAGGACATATCTATAAATATCTAGCACTACATTCGTATATAATAATTAGTAGTACTACGCCAAACAGCCAAGGGCAATACTTAATCAACCAGGATTAGTTGAATTGGAGGGAACGATACCGAGGAGGGGCAAATTCGGGGTCTGTAAAAAATATTTATTTTCATTTAGAAGACATGAAGATAGTCTGTCATTCGAAGGGGAATAAAGAGTCCACCAAACATTCACCGCTACGGGAGTCTCGATGACTATACCGGAAGTAATGTACAAAAAATTAAAAATCATATAAAATCGACTTGATGACTCGGATCATTGCTGAATTAACCATTAAGCAAAATAAGCACGTGCTTAGGGCATCATGGGAAGGAGGGGGGGGGGTACAACATAATTTCTGCTTTGTTAGATGACAAAATTCAAAATATTTAATTCAAAAACTGATTAAGAACTTTTAAAATAGTTTTCGTTGTTTTTTTGTCTTTTCTTACTGTCACCTTATTAATGACGTGTATAAAACCTCAGAAAAACTCTAACCACGTGCTTGGTGGATTGTTTATGGTTTATTATTGTTTACATTTTGAATTGTATACTATATGGGGACACCAAAATCTTCTAAGTGGTTAGGGCCTTTATAGGTCTTAATCTGACCCGGACTCCTATCAACAATAAGTAAGAATGCAGGAAATGTAAAGACCTTTCTCTTGATCATGTTAAATAAAGACCGTACAACTTATATGTTTTTGCCAGCTTGGATTCATTAACAACCCCCGGTTCTGAAGCTAATTCCAGATACTAGAAAACCTAACTATAGACATAATGATGTGATATCTTGTATATGATTTTACACGGTACAATAGTTTATCCAATATTTCCAGAAATCCCTTCTACCTTTTCAATTTATGCTAATATTTGTAACAATCATGTGCCTGTCCAGGGTGGGCGGCTACACTAGGGCTGTCCCGAGGCTGAAATTTGGTGTATAGGGGTAGCTCGGACCGGAAAGTAGTTAAGGTAGCGTTGAGCAGCACCGGGTTATATGCTAGTCGACATTATTTTACATATACAGTGTATGAGGTTTACTAATAAGTATGAGGTTTAACCTCCGGGTTATCTACAGCAACCGGGCTAATGTCCATGGAAAGAAAGTACACTCTTGAATGCTGGCATGGTTAAAGCCCGGCTAACATGGAAAGTGTGCCTAGTCGATCGAGTGGGTCAAAAAACTGAGGCTCCATTTACAAATTGGTTGTGAACGTAAATATCCATCGACTGTCCGGCCAAGTTTATTCTCCTCGCATTACAGACGTAACCGTATAAATTTTAAAAATATATGTTAGTCTCAAAATAACCAAAGTAAAATGCCAACAAGGCGTTAAACCCCAATCCATCCCATGCGTTATAAACTACAGTGGGGTTAATTATGATAAATTTCAATGTGGAACAAGACATACATTTGGGAGTTTTTTCCTCGTTCAATTTATCTTTACATTTATTAGACTGGGAGCCGTGAATGACTTAAAATACATTTTTTATTTCGTTTCGTTTCTCTCACTTGAGTTTAACTAATTTGAATATTAACCTTTTCACTTTATTTTTTTCGATATAGTTTCTCGTCGATTTGCTACTGGCAGCATACAAGGGTCGGTTGATATACATTACGAGTTTGACTTATGAGAGCCAACTGCTCGCTACTGAATATGTCGATCGGCCTGATAAATTCTATGATTTGCTAGTGGTGGGGTGGGATTGTGAGAAAATTAGCCGAACTTTAGACACAGATGTTAAAATACGTTAAGGAGACCATGTCAATGATATATGTTCCTTATAACAAACCCTCGGTGGTGAGATATATAATTTACAACTTGTTACCAGAAAGTTTATTAGTTTTTCTCTAGCGTTTTATTTCTAGTAGAAGAAACCTATATAACTCCGAGTGCTCCCAAAGACGAATTAACTTTCAAGTGCAAACCTATATGAATTTAATTGAATTTAAATGTATAGTTGCGTTCTATTTTGGGTTAAAAATGTACACCGTGCAGACATATTGCTTGTATGAACTATGTAGATATTTTCTACATTATTTATTTATTTATCTATGCATAATACAATTAGAGATAAGATGGGGCCTTTTTTTCGCTGCTGATTTTTGAATCTGTATTTTTCTTGTGAATGGTCCAAAATATGACAAGATATGATATGATTTAAGATAATGCTGGAATATTTATAGCATGTTAAACAAATATTCATAATATAAACAAAGCAATGTTTTGGTAATTAGCTTGTTTCGGATACATTGTATATTCTGAATATTTTGGTTTTTATACCGAATACCAGACAGACATGAAAAAAGATTACAGGGAACGTCCAACTGTGTACTTCTATAGTTTGAAGATAGACGTATATACGTAGTGAATATGTGGATGTATCTACATGGCGTCTATCTGAATAAACAATCCACTGATATATACATGGGTAAAATCGTTATGAAAGAATCATCGACCAGATTAGCTCTTTTTCTAGATCCGTTTTTCGTCCTACCTTTTTGCTCCAACCGGGATAATAATGAAGGTCTTTTTTTCGATTTTAAAATTGGAGCAAAACAGCATCTCAATCTGTGGTTCTATGCTACAAATCTGCTGGTTCACAATACAAAAACCTTGCAAAAGTTTGATATATGTGAACTACTCCAATAGGAATTATCTGATTTGTTTCCCCGGAATTCCTTATCGTAATCCTAGTGTTGTTCTCCGGAACTCGGAACCATAAATGGAAATGCAATTTGTATTGTGGTTTGTCGTAGTGACACACTATTGGTTCTGCTCCGTGATGTAGCCTAATAGGAACATGTGTAATAGGCACTAAACCAATACCCTTTAACTAAAATTACAAATTGGATACCTTCAAATACGCAATTTCAAATGAATATATATCAAGCAATAAATTTTGAGCAAAAAGGTCGATACAGACTTTTTAGTCATTACAAGTAAGCTTTCCTGTTACAGTTTTACCCTTTTTAACCCTCTTAGTTACCCATAATTTTCTCGACAGCTTAACATGAGAATATAATATATAACAAGAAGACCCAGTCATCAACACCCCTCCCTATTGGAAACGTTTCGGAAGGTACAAGGATGGACAATGCTAATTATAAGGTGTACCCGGCATCCTAATAATACTACTTGGTCTACCGCTACCACCGTACACTATCAAAGCATCAAAAGACTGCAAAGTTATATACTCAGTTCTACATGATTTGTGGGATATGCTTCGGGATAATGATTGTATACCAAAAACTAAGTAGAATTCGTTCCCATGGATTGGAAATACAAGCATGATTAAACCCGAACAATTTCTAATTAGCAAAGGCGCACAGTGTGTATACAGTTTCATGAAGATATATTGAACAGTTAATGCTCGGGAAAAGAAATCGGAGTGGAATGACGGACAGATGGAGCCTATTTTAATATCCCTTCCTTACTTAGTTCGGTGCGAGATAACAATGCCCCATGTTCCCAGATCCAAGCAACGATAACGTATGTGATTTTCATTTCAATGGTCATATTTTATTCACAATGATGAGTACAATTCATTTGAATGGAACATTATTGATGAGGATGAACACGAGAGTTTGTAGTCATTAAAACATGATAATATATTATTTACACAATTATAACAACAAAATATTTACTTATTGTCAATTTTAAGTAACAAACACACACACTGAGTATCACGTGATTAGTGTCAAGGTCTAAACCTCGTTGTGATATCAGCGGGAGATAGGACGGCCATTGCTGGTCGATAATCAGCTGTTTAAACTGTCAATCATCGTCAATGTACAGCTGTTAATTACGTCATATTCATAAAATCAACAACAAAGTCTGATGCCTTTATGTCTGTCTAACATCCGTGTTAATCACATAAGCGTAATTTGGCACATTATGGAAGATGGATGCATACCACGCGCATACATCTACCCCTGACACTTATAGCAGCCATTTTGAACGATGGTCATGAGCAATTATTGGTGATGCACGTGGAGGTATAGTTACACATTAAGTGTCTTTTAGGAAGGTCACAATTTGAACACGACTTGATTCTTTTAATGCTTATATCACCAATATAATTCTTTCTTTGTGTGTTGTCCTGGTAGATCAAGACCTGAAATAATAATACAAAATTTTATAATCAACTATTTTTGAGATAGACCTTACATTGTTTTGTGTTAAAAGTTGATCTAAACATGTGGAACAGCCCCATCCTTTTAGCACCTATTTACAATAATTGGTTCCTACACCTCCTTTTTTCTTCTTTGTTTTAATGATTTCAAGATTTAAAGAAAAGAAAATGTGTCCTTACCAACCTGCGATGCCGGATTCCATACCCATCGTCGAGGCAACGTCAGCACCAAATCTTCCCATAGAGTAATAACTTGAAGGGAATGCATCGGCTCCTTTTCCTAAATCATATTGGCTGTGTCTAGTGTCTAATCGTCCTGATAAACTAGGACTTTGCATCATTAAAGAACTGTAATGTGAATTGAGTCTACTGGCTGAATCCATACCAGAATATGATAAACCGTGCGCACTTTGTCCATAAGAATGTGCTTGAGATGAATAATAAGGCCAGTTTTTAGGGAATCCGTAAAAAGAAGTAGGAAAATAAGTCTCGGCACCAAGAGGGAAGTTACTGTGCGAGGTGGATGTAGATGCTGGTTGGTATGCACTGTTCCAGAAAGAAGGTGGTAATTTTCTTTGACACATTAATGTGGAATCTGAAAAATAAAACGGTAAAGAAGATTCAGTTGAGCATTTGAAGATTTTTATTTTTGCAAGCTGATCTGTAATTATAGCTCTTAAAGATAATACAGTTTTTCCACATGGAAGATATCATTTCATATGCATGCATCTCAAGAATTTTTACAAAGAGGTGCAGTCTTTTGAAATATAATTGAAACCATTCCAATTAATAAGCGCGATCGAAATTTTGTTGTTGATTATGCAAGTGAATTGTAAGTTCTCACCATGGTTCCCTATTATAACCATCTTAACATCTGGGCTACAGAGAAGACGTTTAATATTCCCCTACATATCAATCTAAAACTACAATCACTAATACAACTCTAGAATAATAATTCGCCATCGCTAAATATGATATGAGAATGATATGATATTTTGGGGTTTATTTTGAAAACAAAGTTGTAAGGGCCTCGGCAGAGATATGAGAAGATGCGAGCGACTTGATTTCTTTGAATAGAGAATGTATAATTCCGCAATAATTTAGACCATGTTTGACCACCCCTTTTAACCCGCCTTGATAGTAAATCGACATATTGTTCGGATTTGGAGTATCTTGCAAGAAAACAAGCTGTAGTGTAAAGATATTGTTTGTTGCGCGTATCTCTACCTCACTTCTAAAGCTGTGTGGTCTTGCCTACTTGTAACACGATCGGAAAGAACAGACGATTTGAATGAAAGATGTTTGGGAACAAAATGGAAGCCGGGGCAGACGATACCGTTAGTTTGGCGGGAATAAGCAGACTATCATGACAGCGTCAGGTGTCTCAATGCGCATGACATATGTTTCAAATTAACGAAAATAGGAGTAAAGAAATTGATTGTTCTGTAAGAAGACAATATAATTGATCATTTTGTGAAATATGTTGGTTCTTTGTCTAAAATATAAAGTAGGAATACTTCACATGTTTTTTACGATTATTTGTATTTTAAAGTGTTTAAAACGATGTTTGAAAAGAAAATCTGACAGGTTAAGTGAGTCGTTTATCATCTTATCTTGTACTGTGATGATTTTAAAAGATAGGGTCTATGTTTCTTAAGTTTCTTAAAATCTAAAATGCTCATCACTTTTCTTACATTTTAAAACAATTGAAAATATTTGTTCAGCACTTAAACTAATTTAACTTGATCCATGTAATCTATGAATGGCATACTAATAAAATAACAGCTCCATTATGTTTTTTAAAAATTGGTAAATTTGAAAGCAATTTCTCGGGTGGCCTTCAGAATTGAAATAGAATCATTACCAAATTTCTGATTAATTTCAGAACCTCTCTCCGATTCGAAAAACAAACCAACAAAACCCCCACACAACTTTTAATTCTGTTGATATGTATCATTTGTGAATGATATAAAACATCCAGTGACACATGGAGCTTAAAGCACTTCTTAATTCACATTTCAAGGAACGTATCACCGACAGTGCCTGCAGTCCCCACGCGGCGTCTAACTCACGTGCGATAATATTTCACTTCGGTACCCCTTGTGACCAAAACAAATTAACTCTCCCCTATAAAAATATACCCTGGGATGATATGAACAGCACTTGGGGCATGTCGATCTTACTAATTGATGGAATCGTCAACATTTCCCGCCTTATCAATAGAAATGGCTACCGTTTCAAGATATGACATTTACTAATCATGGCGTTTATCATATTGCCTCGTGTAATATATTCTTCTGTGTTTGCCTTCCAAATAGTTAACGGTTATGCTAGTGGCTTTATTATGGTAGGGTATATAATAATGTTTAACTTATAATGCTATGTTTGTGTGTTTCTCTTAAATAAATACAAGAGGCAATTGACAATATGGCTAATAGACAGACGAGGTTTTGTAGTGAAGTATCTTATATTTATTTAAAAAGCTTGTCATTCAAACTCGAGTGAGTAGATCCAATTAAATCTATGTTAAATATCTAACATGAAATTCTTGTGTGTGTGTGTGGTTCCATTATTTCTATAAGATAGTGTAACGTGAGATTGTATTAAGAAAATATTTTAAGTGTATCTTAAAATAAATGTATGGTGCAGTGGCGAAATTCTTTAGTGGAAATTGATATGTAAAACAAGACCATTCTTTGTATATTCATATTTTTATGTGTAAATGAGATTGAAAAAGCCGGTCTATTGAAATATTCAAAAGCAATATATATTTTTCTTATACAATATTTTCTTTGAAATAGAACTGAGTTTGTATTTTTATCGGATTTTCTGACGGGCTACATGGAAGGATTAAACGTTCAACCTTTGATGCAAAATAAACAAGTTTAAAAATATATAAAATGTAATGTAAGGAGAAAGTTTATCGAAGATTACAGCACGTGCCGTGGGATCATATGTTGATTGTATCCCATTTGCAGGAAATTAACATCCTCGAAAAGTTTTAACCACAAAAAAATTGATTATAATTATTACACAGTAAATCGGAGAAATAATCCACGAAAACTAGAGGGATTAGAAATGTAACTTTTCCCTGCAGGGGTTTTTAATTATATCAGACGCCCTACTAATCTACAACACATGTTGATTTGTGAAGTCGGCAACTAATATTTCATAATCAGCTTAGTTTGGTCTGAGGGGTATTCACTGTATTAAAATGGATTAGCAAGAAACCGCCACATTATGAGCCAAATTACACAAAACGGAAGTTTTCTTTTAAACATTAATTTAGCTACTAAAATGTGACAAGAATTACGTTTATTTTCATGACGGAGTTGAATTCAGTTCGTTTTTTTCTTTGGTTTGTTTCTTCAGCTTAACATACAAGATTCTGTTACAAGTTTATGTAAAGAATGTCTATTTTACAATATGTTTAGATTTTATACATTTTAAATTATTACAGAAAATATGTTCTACCATATATAGTAGTTTAATGAACAGTGTTGAATTTAACTTGCCATTAAAAGAGTTAATCTTTAGGTTGATCCATGCCAGTTAATGAATTTTGATCTTAATACAATTTAGTTAAAACATTTTCATATGCATAATATTCCGTTTAACGGCAGTCTGAAATTTTATAAAATAAAAACCCGGCGTTGTTCCTTTCGATGTTGTCCCTTTAAATTGATAAAAAAAAAAAAAATTACCATTGATGTTATTACTGGCTTTGTTGATTCAAGACTAATTGATTATAAATATCATCATGCTATACGATTATGTTAGCTGATACAATTCGCTAGATAAATACACATGTCCTATAACAGAAAGCCATTTTCCAAAATTATCTAACACCAATCTGTCTTTTTACATATCATAAATTATTTCGGATTAGTGTCAAAGTTAATTGAATTAAAATTTATAATTTATTTTTGCGTGTAACATCACCATTCAGCCACTTTGTGTTTTATCTGTTGCGTAATGATACTGGAGTGAACAGGGGCTTTTGCACTACACCCTTTCCATTCCTTCTATGAGTTATATTAATTCAAAATAAACACATTTTTATGTAACATCACCATCATCAAATCGTCGGGTATTTAAGCAAGGTCAACAATTTGCAGTGAACAGGGGCCCTTGCACTTATAATTATGTGTTAAATTAATTTAAAATAAACACATATTTTATTTTAATACATTGCTCTAAAACCGGAAAATATATAGCACAATAAAGGATAAAAAAAGAACTCAGGAAAGCTAATTATCCCTTTTTGTGATATAAAAAATATCTAATATCCAGCTGGTTGTTACACAAAATATTGGATATCTAGCTTGTTATTATACAGAATATTGAATAACATGTTTTGCTATTTATTGTTTCATCATGTTGGTTTGTCTTCCAGACTTTCTGTTGTAAAACTAGAGTAAGATTTAGACAGTGTTAACAGATTAGTTAATAAATAAGCTTGTGTAGATATATCGACCATACGCTATATATATGTTCTGTTTCAACATGGTAAGTACTATCTAGACCTAGTAGATTTCACAGAATAAGTGTGTGAGAAAGTAAAGATAAATGGGACCAAAAATACATAACTATTAACTATTGTCTCAATTTGTGGGGTAAAAAAAAATTCCAACTGACGCGAACGACTTCTGAATTATTGCCAAAAATATCTCGAATTACCAAAAGATCTGATTTTTACACAATTGTCTCTGCGGTGACTACGATAACGTAATGTTTTTGTTCACCGTTTGGCAGTTGGCCTGTCTGAAGATTCCTAGTGGGTAGCTCGCGTCCCTCCTGTTTTATTTCCCTCTTGGATAAATATCACCTGGTGTAACGGACACGATAACTCCACATGAAACAGACAATTGCTTGTCAATCGACCCATCTCGCCTAACAGAGTTTGGACTGAATCGACAAAAGCGAAGTATCTAGAGCAATTGTATTGAAACCTATGAGAATTTACTGTTATAATTTCTACAGTATGACCTCAAGCAATTTATGTCCATACAAATTACGTGCAAACATTCATATAACATATTGTTAGTATAGCTACTTAAAGAAACACGAAATTGAATGATTCGCAAAAAAATGTATCTACTGATACAAAATAATTGCTTAGAAAAGGCCTAGTCGTAAATGTGCAGGCTGAAATCTTTTTTGGGGTTGTCAAGGGAAATATTGGCTGCAACGTTGGTAGATTATACACAACTTCGTATAATGGTCCAAAATAGCAAATTATTTAGATCAGAAGTTTCGTCACTATATCTCAAACAATAATTTCAAGGTATTACTAATGGTGTGCATAGTCAATTAATGATGAATGATGATCGATTCAGATGATTTAGGCTTTAGATACCCTTAAGATTTTAAAATGACTAGACCTCTTATTTTTAATAAACATAAAATTGTTGATTTCATTGGATTTATCTGTTGAATTATTTCCTCTTTGTTGAAAATTTTACGACTATATACAAAGCTATGAAATGTTAAAATATCACTAATTTTGTGTTCCACTTCAGCTTCTTCTTTCGAAACAAAAACCATAATCGTTCATAAAGAACATGCAACGGAAATAACACATCGGGTCAACCCAATTAAATGCTTTATTTTTTACCTCCTTTTAACCTTTCAACTGTTTGTAAACACAGAGAAAGGTTTTTATTGCTACAAATTAAATCACTCCCAAAAAATCGAACACCAAATTAGATGGTAGACCCTAAACTATCATTTGCAATGAATTGGACAATGTCAAGATTTATATTCCAATTCCTTAAATTGTTTGATTTACATAATAGTAAAGGTAAAAGTCTGTATAACTTTTCCATGTAATACTCATATTATTAAAATCAATAAATTTATCACTTGAAACAATAAATTAATTCCCTTAAGCAGTATTCGACACACAAAAAAACCTCCAACATTCTGTAACATAGTTCAACACGATAAATTATAGCTCGGATACAGACAACAATAACTATGGATTGACTTTTCAAAATTTTAAAGAAAATCTCACAAGAAAAAAGTCAAAAAGTCGTGAGATGATTTGTTAATTACACACTAAAACGTGCTAAAAGTTACATTTTATTTTAAAGTGAAAAATACTTCAAAGATTGAATGGTTTAATCTTCGACTTAGTTACATCGAACGATAAACAAAAATCAAACAGTAGAAAACCTGCGAGTAGCCTTACATAATTATATTACAATGACCCCCAACAGGTCACCCCAAATAACATGATGGCTGTCTTTGGTTGTTTTCGATGGACGCGAGTGAAAATTAAATATGACCTCTTTCAGACATACAAACTAGCCACACAAGTTTCCATGTTTGGTCAACTCCTGCACGTGGTACTTGACCATAACAAAACACGCGCTCATATGCAAATTGTTTGTATTTTATTTAGAATGATGCTTTTGTCTAAATCTCTTTGATGGCACCGGATTATAAATATTGAGAAAGGGATTAAGGGTCCACATCACCTTTCTCTTCTGCTTTCCTGGTCGTATGGTCTACACGATGCGAGTCGATTGGGCTAAAAACAGTCTTATTATGTTACTTATATAGGTTATGTTCTGATTCTCGCAATAATTGCATATATTATGACAGAAATAAAGCAACAGTTGTGATATTTGGTATACATTTTATATATATTGTTTTTCCTTTCAAAATGCAAATTGTTACGAAAAGCAATGATTGATTCGACTCACTGAAATAAGTAAAATAAATATTTTTAAACCGTTTTTTGTACATCTTCAAATCTGTAAGATATTTGTCATAAGTATTACAGTAATTCATGAATAAAAACAACGCAAATAATATATTTTGTTCAACATATCTTAAACATGTATTCAACGGTTTTGTTTTTGTTTTTGTATTGTTTGTTATGTGGGCTTTCTTTATGTGGGGAGGATGGGTGGCGTGCCGTACTGACGAATTTTGCTCAGATGATGAACTCTTGTATCAGTTGGAATAAGTAACGTTATGGTAAACTCATTTCCACGATTAAGTGCGATGAAATATGATTTCAAATGTCAAACTATATCACTTTGGTTAATTATATAATTATGAATTAGACAATACGATTTGACAAATACTAACGTTGCGTAGATTTCATCATGCGTAGATGCTTCGGAAAATATCTGATTTTGTGATTTTATTTTTCTATCGACTATACAAAGAAAATCCGCTTCCTACCCACATAAATTGAAATCATATAATATTTCATTTGCATTTGATTTAATTGATAAATCTGAATCCATATTTGGTTCCATTTTTCTGAATTGATCACAATCAGCGCGTTATTTATTACGCATTGGGGTTTGGAATCTAATTGATTTATTGGGTTTGCAATATCTTTCTTGAAATCAGACTATGGATTTGAAATTTTATGGTTTTATTTTTGATTATACCTCGATATAAAAATAATTGATTTATTGTTCTTTATGTTGGTTAATGGAAATTTTGTTTAGTTTGAAGTGTGATACAGAGAAATTTATATGGTTTGCTGGTTATAGTACACTGGTCATCAGATAAAAAATGTTTTAGCTTTTAATCTGATCATCTATAATATAAATCATTTGGTTTAACAGCAAATTTTAACGACAACCTCTGGGCGTTTTTATAAAACTTAATAAAAGTGATGAGCTGTACAAAGACCAAAATATATCACAATATTCATGTATAAAGTGTGAATTTCGACAATATCAATTGGCAACAAAATGTTTTTATATTCATATTGAATTTCGACATTATCAAATGGCCCAAAATTGTTTTTATATTCAGTTTGAAGTTCGGCATTATCAAATGACCACAAATGTGAAGTTCGGCATTATCAAATGACCACAAAATATGGAGTTCGGCATTATCAAATGACCACAAAATGTGAAGATCGGCACTGTCGAATGAAAACAAAAACATGTATATTGATGAATATCAATTAAGAAATGGTCATGCATAAAATATAAATTAAGAAATGGCACCAAACCACATCGGTATTTGAGTGACGTCTGTGTGTGCGTTATGTAAGTTAAACATAATTCCTCCAAATTTCGTTTGCCCAAAACTATTTAATACACACGACATATAGGAACAAGATGAGAGACTTGTATTTTGAGACTTACCTGTTCTTCCGTAATGTTTACTGCCTTGTCTGTCTACTGTATAACTACTAGGTTGACTTAATGCTTTACTAAAATGTTCATCAACGTTTGAGGCAATATCACCACTAAAATATGTCAATAATAAACAATTAGGGTTGAGATATTGTGAACCTTGTGGCTGTTCTTTTTCTATCTCGGCTTCTTTATCTCTTGAAGAATTATTACTGTCTAAAAAATGCCCACTTGTACTACTTGTATGACTATCATACATACTAGGCACACTAAACTTCTGAAAGAAATTAGAAAAAAAAGATAATTTAATTTCCGAATACAAATTAAAAAATGTAAATCATTTTAAGCACTATTAAATTCAGATATGGGTATGCATTTAAGCAAATTTACATGAAGTATGACAAATTGGTTCAAGAATGTAAGACTTAATTTAAAAAACAAGTCATATCCATGCTCAGAAACAGAGTGACATAAGTTTGATATAATTAATAATGAAATATCTAAACAGCAATCTAAAAAAAGAATTAATGAAAAACCAACCTTCCTTGATGGATGTTTAACAAAAAATGAATAAAAATTATTTATCATTGACATCGCACTTAAATAGAAATGTCAACTCAAGTGGTAAACTTATAAATTGTAATAGGTTCCAATACGTAACGACAACTCAGGGTTTCTTTTAACGACAACTCGCAGTTTCTTAACACGAAAGTTAAACCGTGTAATGTCCTGATTGTAACTGTAGCCGCAAGTATGGCTGAGCGTTTTCCAACAATGACACTGAAGTAACGAGTTATTGCTAGTTATGTATACACCGTGCTGATTTACAGATTTCAAACAGCGAATTTATGAAATGTAGAGGTTAGTATTAAAGAGCGATTGGAATGAATATCTCCCAACATTGATGTCAGTACTGAATCTTAAAGAAAGAATTTCTTAGTTACGGTGTAGTTCGACTCCATGAGGATGCCACAAAATTTCAGGACTGTCAAGCACGCATTCCAATGAGCTATAGAATGGTATGTTTTCAAGTATAGAATATTTGTTCTACAATTATGCTTTTATCAAAATGATAAAATTTTTGAGCTGGATTAGAAGAAAGCGGTCACTCCTCCACGATTTCTCGATTAGTATAAAAGGTAGATGCGTTTTTTTACCTGACTCTCTTCGGCAGAAGATTTGTAAGGAAAATATGGTGAATAAAACTGATACATGACTTCGGCACAACTCATCCTATTTCCAAATCCGATCAAACACTGAAGGTACTTTCCTTATGCACGGCAAATTGTTCAACTGTCATGACAAGATATTATTGTGTTTCTTCATTCTAGGAATTCAGGAGGCGGGGCAGTCAGCAATACCAACATAATTCTCTAGAAACCCTGCTCCTGCAAGATGGACGCTGGCTCCACCTACTTCAGGAATTGACATATTTTGGCAACCAATCGCAGCGGAGGATTTATCTGCGGTTCTCACGCGGGGTGTGTGGAAGTGAGTTTCGAGTAGTAGGTTTTAATGTTTAGGGAAGATAATCGAAGAATTGGGTTTGTCATTGGAAGGAGATAGAAATAGGAAGAAACGGTACTTGAGGTGGATAAACCGTGTTTTGTTTAGAGTTGGGGATAAGTTGTACAAGTGTTAGAGCTGGCTGATTTAACGTTGCGTGTTAAATACTGGTATCAACACATCAATAAGCACCGTCACTATTTTAGAATACCCTGTTTGTAAACAGATTTGACGAGGAAAAAACCTCCACACATTGACTTTATACACAAGAAATAAAATTGACAAATCTTTTGATGTTCCTTAAATATATATACATTTTGCGCGTACTTTAAAAGCAATGGAACTAGATTTCTAAAAACAACATTCTTGCCCAATAGATTTTGTTCAAAAATAAAGAAATTAATCAGTACGATTTGTTTAGGATGAACCGTGAAATGAAATATCAACAGTTAAAATGATAACTTTTAAACAACATAAAGTACATAATAGAATACTGAAATACGAAATAATCCAATTTACACATCGACATACAGATTCTTGAAGGAACTGGGTGAAATTAAATATTTAAATGGATTCATATTTGGTAATAAAAATTCCTGTCATATCAGTATACTGTACCATATTGTTACTGAAATATTTGCCAATTATTCGTATTATAGCGATGGGGAATGCCAGATTCTCCACCATGATTCGTATTATTCCAATGAACAATGCAAGATTCGTATTATGCAGAAGGGCAAATCACTACCGTATACTCCTGTTATCTTGACGGGCAATGCAAGATTCACCACCTAATATTTGTATTATACTGATACAACAACAATATTTTCATTATCCATGCCCTTGGAATCCAAGATGCATTCTGATGCATCGAACTTGGCGAGCAAAAATATAATTTAACTCAGAATATCAATTGCTAAGAAATCTGATTTTGACGACTTTGAGTTTGGAACGTAATTTGACTCAGGATATCAACACATTGCATTGTAACAGTTGTTAATATAGTTTAAATTTAAGGAGTAATTTGAGAATCTATATGCCAATTTTTCGAACACTAGTTTCAACGGTAACACCTATCTTTCCAAGGCAATGTTTCATACGGGTGACATTAGTGGTGGACACATCCCGGTATCTAACCGAATTGAGTTCAGTCTCCACATATTAAACATGGAAACACTTTGCTATACTAATACTATCGACTGTGACGATCATGATTTGGGACTCATGTCTTTCCAGACCATTAATCCAGTAGCGTAGCGGGGTGTGAGGAGGAGATGGGACAGTCGCCCCCACGTCCCCGTGTGAAGGGGCACAAACTTTAATAAGGTACAATTCTTATATATATTTCGGGGGTTTTTTTTCGCGTTTTTGGGCGTTTTCTTTTTGTTTTGTTTCTTAGTAATGCAATTTAATATAGATATTAGGGGGAAAACGTCGATATTATGACTATCCATGTGGGGCGCCAAACGTGTCTTCGGACACCCCCGACTCCCCAGCTTCTGAGAGCACATTAATTGCTAGTATTCTTTAGCTTTATCAATTTCTGAAATACACAGGATCTATAGTTTAAATAACCAATAGGATATTTCGTTCATCGAATTTTTCGTGCTTTATTTGATTTAGTTGTTAAGCAAAGCTGGTATTGAATAAGTTTATTTTTAATATTAAAAAGACGAAAGATGACAAAAATATATAAACTCATACAAATACATTTAACAAATCTACATCAGATGCGCACTGTCATTATGCAAAAAAAAAAAAAAAAATACATTCCCAAAACACACGATAGTAGATCCCACTCTTCCAATGCTCATAGAATGATCTCAATGAAGTAACTTTGCGGCTTTGCAGTAATAAATAAAATGTTGATTTTGAACGAAAAACAATAGTTTAGTACACATCCATCTTTTGTTGGAACCTAGGTGACTCAGTGAGTAGGACGCTGGCTCACTAACCAGGAGGTGTCGGGTTCGCTCCCGGTTTTTACTCCTCTGGTGTGCAGTAAGGACTATCTAGTCGTTCGGATGGGACGGAAAACCAAGGTCCCGTGTACACATTTACGTGCACGTAAAATAACCTTTGATAATTGGATTTCGATGTAAAAGTAGGCCGTAACGCCGCTGCCCGGGCATTATGTCCCTAATAGCACCCTGTATGGCGTATGCCAGTCTCCATTATCCAAGTCAGTGCAGAAACGTAGGACGTTAAACATCATTTCATTTCCATCTTTTGTTCGGGTAAGCCGTTTCAGTTCATTGGTGCGGTTGTAGTGTCCCTTTCTTTGTATTTTGTTCGCGGGGTAAATGAAATGGACCGAAAAGTTCGAATAAAGATTGAAACCGAAAAGAATTTCGGGTCCTTCTCAGATGCGTAATGAGCAAGGTCTGGAACAGCAGAGGCTAGGGATTGGTCGTTCTTTATACTGGCTTTGTTGCAAACCAAGAACAAATATTTCTTCAAATTGCCTAAGGTGTACGGATTTTCAATCAAATAGAGAGATCGGAAATAAAATGTGCTCCATTCCCTCCCTCTCGTTAATCTAGATTACACATTAAATGTGAAAAAAAACCGGGTACATAATTGCGTTAATATATGGAATTATTGGTTATCAAGATGGATAACTCTGGGGATTATCAAAGAAAATCAATGACGAAAATAACTCTCTTCGTAAGATATACAATTTCATGAAACCCGAATAATGATAAAAAAAGGAAGCATTGGCTACATGCGGAAAAAAGAGCAGTGACAATTGCAATTTCTGTGTTTAAAAGCATTGCAATTACATTACATCCGTTAACTGTATACGCTATCCTGCAGTCCAGGGGAGATAACCGTGTGAACAATTTTTTTTTTTTTTTTCTAGAAATAAATGTTGAGGTATTTGTTAGGCACAACAAGCCAAATATATAGTTGCATCAATCTCAAAATATAAAAAAAAATGTATTCGATGTTTTCTTTTTGGTAAGACATAATGATAACACAAGTCACACACGAGTATAAAACCACGTTCTTGAAGAATAGGTGGACTGGTTTATAATGAAAGAGACGTCAAGTCGGGTGGATGGTGTGTGTGTGTGTGTGTGTGTGTGTGTGGGTGTGGGGGGGGGGGGATCAACAGAAACCCGTTTAGACTTAAATTGACGTAAGTTAAAATTGACCAAATTGAATTCCGGAATATTATCAACAGAAACCCGTTTAGACTTAAATTGACTTAAGTTAAAATTGAATTCCGGTATATTATCCTTGGAATTATCAATGGTTTCTCTATTTTGAGACTTTTGATCAGTTGTCCACGTAACTAAATTTATACAGTTTTATACGTTTCCAGTCTTGGCATAAATATAAGCTGTCGCAACAAAATGAGTAATTCCAGATGAATAGATTTAAAATATAACACCAATAAATAAATCACCCATCCTCATCTTGTGAGTTAATGATAAGATATAAATATATACGCCTATTCTATGTTAAATGTACCTAGTTAAAGAGTTCAGCATGAGGTAATCTCTTATCGTTTAATCGGGGATGGTTGAAAGTTTTTAATTTTGAATATATACTTTGCAATATATCCATAAATTACACAGAAACAAGTACATATTTCTGGACTATGTCTTCACCAAAACGGTTGTAAAGTTTATGTATAGTGAAGCTGTGGTGCTCAAAACAAGACACCCCTTTTCTCGACTACGTCTTCAAAAAAAAAGAGATTTAGCAGTGATGCGGTGCTCGAAAATGGATGCACACTTTCATTTAGATCTACGTATTATCTTATTTTCTTTTTTATTTTGTTTTGGGTAGAAGCGTACTACCTTTTCTCGGTATACTAATTGAATCTTACAAACCTCTACATTGACCAAATACAACGTTTGAAAAAACTGAATTCTTAGATTAGTTGACAACGAAAACAACTTTGTTAGTGACGATATCAAGAGATAATAATGGGTAGAGCATGTATATGGGAAAATCGTTAGAATTTCGAAATCAATATACATGTATATTCAACATTTAATATGATTGTTGACGACAAGTTACATAGACGTATTGTCATTTTGATCAGCTAAAATCTTATAATATATTTTCGTGTACATTAAATTTACCACGCAAAGAAGTTTATAAGAATTAATAACTATTTTAGCTAGGTTTTAGAAGATGTCCACCTTTTAGATTGACCGTATATGTACAGTAAATGTACAGTAAACACACAGGTTATATCAGGGGCCTATTTCACGAAATTTTAACTAAGATAAAATCCAAATTTTAGTAATTTGATTGGATAATATTAGATTGATTTTAATGCTTAGCCAATCAAAATTGAAGTATCTACTAAAATTTGGATTTTATCTTTAGTTAAAATTTCGTGAAACAGGGCCCAGGTCAGGTATCAGGCGTTTGTCGTAACATACCACCCTGACATTGTAAAGATATTTTTTAAACGGAAGTCTGATTTCATTGCTGAGAAACTAAATACAATTAAACAATTAGTGAAAGGAACTAAATTGGTATTATTTCCTTAAAATATCTTGTCACATCACATTAAAATAGTTACATCAACGAAACGCTAATAAAACGTGTGTTTGGAAACATTCGAAGATTTTATTGAGATTTGAATGCCTTTCAAGGGTTATCTATGGAACTGAGGCAGAAAAAGTGAAAGGTTTCAAATAGTTTAGAGACAAGAGTTTGCTTCTTATATTACAGTAGCTCATATGGTCTTACATAATCTTTTATTATCATGTTCTACTACATTGACTTCTATATACATCACCCAATAAGTTAACAACTTGCTGGCATTATAGTTTAATATTCTTATTATCA